TACTCCTATATGATCCTATTCAGCTTGATAAATGCCCCCAAAAAGCACAATTTGCATGCAAAACTCTTTTAGGTGTTTCTAACAGGCATCGACACCCAGCTGAACGTGGCACTTGTAAAAGACCGTGTAATACAGCACACTTCACTGGACAGTACCAGAGTTTCCACACAGGTCAGGTTGTCTTCAGCCTCAGCACTTCATTTCCCTTCATTAGGCCAACTCTCTGTAAAGCTGTCCTCAAGGATTTGACATACATTCTAATTTGTTGCACTTTGAAGTCTGATTAATTCAAATTACTGAAGGAAAAAGGAAGGAAAGCCGAGGACACGGGAGGCAGCGAGAACAAGCGAGCGGATAGATATGTTACAGAGCAGAGTGAAGAAGTAGCACGGTAATCTAAATACAGCAAGTTTTAAACAATCCTAATTACAGAAAGGCTGATAAACTCGTTTTAGCTGAAGAAGCTAGCAAGTGATTCTGTGTGAGATATCTTTGGCGTGGCCATATTTATCCAAAAGTAAATGTGACATAATAAAACAACATGCATTGAAATTATAGCTGCAAATACTTGTGAGTCTAGTTTATATGACAGATTGAGAGCTGTTCCAGGGCAGCTCAGTAATATTTTGAGTAAACTGCATTACATCAGAAACAGAGCAACTGGCCGAGTTTCTAAGAAGAGGCTGACAAGTATATTCGGAGTACAACTACACTGCACAGAGGATGATAACGGTGAAATTAAGCATGAACCTGGCCATTGTGGAGAAGATTTATTGAATCACATCCATCATTACAAAGAAGAAAGTGCAAAGACAGTTTTACTACGCTGTTAAGAGCAGGAAATAATGAGAGGTTCAGCCACAGGCCTTAAAACTGCATGATGAATTTAAAGATTCGAATAAGTTCATCTTTTTAGCACTGAGACTGGAAGCTCTAGTACAGACTGACAGATTCATCTGAGTCACATTTGATTTTATTTTTATGAAAGAGCTGTAGTACAAAATTGTTGTCAAAATATGCAGATTTTGGCATTTCACTGTTAGCATTTTCACACATCTTCTCCATTTCTGACTGCACTTAGTGACCAACTTAGCCCACACATCCGTCGCAATTTTTAAAACTAAGCATCTTTCAAAACCTTGACCTTGGAGAGTGTCAATAAGAATGAGTCTCATCTGTCGTCAAAAGGAAGTCAAATTGTAGAGACGTGCATGACAAAACAACCCTACTGCTCACTTACCTCCGTAAAACACCTTCCCATTCAGCCTCAGTTGGAATTTTACATACTTAAATCAAACTTTAAATTCATTTTGTGGCTTAAAGTGGAGTTTGCTTTAAACTGCGAGTATCTTGTGACAGCAGTATAAATATGCAGGATCTGATTCTTAATTCAGAGCTTCCTCGTGCTTACGAGGTCAAAAAAAATAATAAAAATGCTGCTCAAGTCACGATTTTTTAAAACAAGACTTCCAAAACAAGTGGATGACGGTACGGCAGGTACAGTCATATTTTATATACAGCCTACAATAAAATTATAACTTCTGTTAAATAGAGTCCCTTTCCTTTTTGCATGAATAACTGATAATGATTCACATTGCTTTTGACAAAAACGATCGGTTTCTGATGCAAAAAAGTTGTTGCAAAAGGTTTAAGCTTGGCTGAGGTGAGAAAGCTGTCATAATGAAAAAGCAGCTGTGACCTTGCAGTGGAAATGGCTAAATGATGATGCACATAAAGTGCTCCAATCTGCAGAGCTTCTATTCTAACTGTCCTTCCAACTAATGTCTAATGTGTTTAACTGGCACTTCTTTACTGATTTCAATGATGAGGCAACCCACTGAAGAATTAGTCTATAAAACTGTATTTTATGTTCTGATAATCTTCTGGCTTCATCTGCATTCAGTAGCTATTCAATATCCCATTAACTTCTATTAAATGATTAAAACTAAACCATTTCTTCCACCAGCATATATATATATATTTTTTTAAATACTTTGGGAGAGAACTACAGTATATACACATGCAAGTGTCAATACATCCGATGCATTGACACTTAACATACAAAACTGCCTTTACACCCTCATTTTTAATTTCCAGATAGATATTCTTACAATAGCATAACTATAAAAAGTGAACAATTTCAGCTTAAGTCTACTTTGCTAGATCTGACTGTTTAGTTTCACCAGTTCTTGTTTCTGCTGCTACATACAGTTTGCTTTAAAGCTCACTGGATTTTATTCATAAAGCACAATATCCAGATTACCTTAAATACAATTTAAGGTTTTAGGAAGGTAATGTCTTGGGGGGGTATATCAGGTTAAAAGCAGAGGTTAGGTAAGACTCTCCATCAGCTTTGACATTCACAGATGACAGGGTAGGGGAGCAGATGGAAAAAGTGGAGGTATACGCTGGAGAAAGAAAGAAAAAAAGATGACTCAGTTGAAGCAAGAGAAGAGGTGGTAAGGAGTTTAAATACCTAGTGTCAGTGACAACGCAACAGGTAAAAAGTACAGGCAGGGTGTAGTGGGTGAAGATGAGTGTCAAGGGTGATCTGTGAAAGGATGGCAACAAAGGTGAAAGGGAAGGTTTGAAAGATGATAGACACCCCTGCTATGATGTGTGGTTTGGAGGCAGTGACAAAAGGGAGGCAGAGCTGAAGATGTTAAGAGTTTCACTGGGAGAGCCAAATAGAGACAGGATTTAAAAAGAGTACATCACAGAGACGACTCAGATTGGAAACTTTATCTCCAGACTGCTCAATTTGGAGACAAGCCTTAGCTTTGTTTCTGGGACCTTTTCAGCTTCTTTATGGCCCTTACTAGTGGCATGCACCTCTTGTTCTTTCTAAGAAACTTGATGAAATTTCCTGTCATACAGATTAATGTCCAAAACAAGGACTTTAGTTTAAATATCTAGAGTCAAACCTTTGATTATGCAATCAGAAATGGGACGCTGTAGTCATGCTGAAGAATTTATTTTGAAATTTCATGGGAAAAGTGAAAACACACAGGAAAGGAATGTGATTTTTTTTCTCCCCCCCATAGGTGATGTGAGGCTTCACTCCTGGTACAGCATCCATTTTTCTTCATCTTATGCCTTTTTGTGTCCCAGCACCGCATCATAGATCTTCCCAGTGAGGCAGTGCCGGATGTTGGTGAATCCGGCAGCAGTCAACAGGGCAGCATACTGAACATCTGTCCTCTCTCTGCCCTCCGTCTGCACCAGCATGTTCAGGGAGTAAAGCTGAGCTGTAAGCGGGCCAGAACCGTCCTCACTGAGCAGCGCCTCCACCACCAGCACAGCACCTCCTATAGCAGGGATAAAGATACCTGCTTCAGTTCTTTTTTCCCCCCCCCTTTAAATAAAGTGTCCTGGCAAAGCTTAGTGACAGGTTTGCAAGACCAAAAAAAAAAAAAAAAAACCAAAATAACCACACACACGTTAAACCAATCGATCCAATGTGATGACCCCTACTAGGTGTTGCTACATCGGGACACCTTTCAGATTGTGATTATGGTTAATGAGTGGCATAAGCCAAATCTGGGCCCAGGTCTGCTTTTAAACCCCACTTCCTTCTGTAAGCTGGCACTGTAACACTATTCACTATCCAGACTTTCTCATTTTTCTTTTGCTGCCCTCTCTGTTCTGTGATAGAATCGGCTGCTTTGTGTCTGACTTTGATCAAAGTCAGAAGGACAGATTTCTCTGGGATCAGCTGCATT